CCTAAGTTTACAAATTTAACTAAATACCCCAATATATAAAAATTTTGTAAATAAACAAAAACCCCCGCCACCTGCAGTGCCAGATTCCGGCCACCACCGTCGGAATCTGGCGGAAAGTTGCGTTACGACACAGACCCGTCGGACTGTGCCGTAACGCGTCGATCTGGCCTTTTTTCGGCCAGATCCGTGGCTGATCTGGTCGGAAAAGGCCAGATCTATGGCCAGATCTGGCCGTCGACGCCGAAAACTCCATCTGCGGCGTCCGACGCCAGATCTGCTGCTCTTTGACGGCCAGATCTTGCCTTTTCTGGCCAGATCCGTGGCGGATCTGACCGAAAAGGGTCAGATCGGCACTTTACGACACAGATCCGATGGTCTGTGTCGTAATGCAGTTTTCCGCCAGATTTCGGCGATGTGGCCGAATCTGCACTGGGGTGGTGGGGGTGTTTTTGTCATTTAACAAACTTTTTATATATGGGGGTGTTTAATAAATTAGCAAATCTAGGGGTTTTTTAGAAATTTTTAAATTTATAAAAAACTAAAATTGAAACTTTGAGGGCATTTTAGTCTTTTCACTATTAATAAACAAAAATCACTAACAGAACATGACGAAGGTACCTATTTATCGTTTCAAAACCTTTTAAGTACACCTTGTTGTTACGGTAAACCTTGGGTATGCACAAGTCTTTCGGCCTCTTGAAATGATGGTGATGATTTACTGGAATAACAGATACATTAGTCTAATATTAAGTTAAAATATGGATTCAAAGTCGAATTTTTTGTCTTACATGATGGGCCCACTAGAAAAGCCCATTAAATAATGTGGGCTACAGGCCCTAGCCCTTTTAATGGGGGACCTCTTTTGAGAATGTTAAAAAGGGGTCTTCACCTAGGCTAGCTTTTCCACTTCAAGTAGCCATTAATTCTTCCGTCAATTACTAATAATTATAATTCATATATTGAAATATATTCTATTTTTGCAATATTTATAAGCTTTCTCTTGATATTTTGTGTGCATCCAATTATTGCTAACATAACTATATCTAGTTAGCTTTTTGCTATCAACACACACTACAACAAAAATCATACTTAATACTGGTCATAACATTTACTGTAGACTATCTATGGTAACATCTTGATATTAAAATATCATGATAATAAATTTTATATATAACACTTTAACTTTTTGTAACACATTTTATATTATGGTAACCTTTTTTTTAAAATGTTACTAATAAAGATTAGTAACATTTTCAAAGTGTTACAATAAACTTAATATATAACTTTTTATAATGTTACCATATAATCAAATACAGTAACATTTTATAAGTGTTACTATAAACCCATTATTTACCGAGAAACAAAATATCATTCCTGTCAACATAAAATGGGGTTGATTTTGTCTCATTTTTATTGTTTAGTGTCAAAATTATTTTGTCACTTTTCATTCCTGTAGGGACCAAACAGATGTTTTACATATCCCCAAAATTACCGGGAAAATAACATTTAATACCACCAACCCCATTTTCCTCAAATTTCTTAGCTAATTCCCTTGTAACTCATTCACATCGAAGGCAATTCTTTAGTTGAGTTCAAAGTTTGCCTTCTCTTTTCTTTAACCGTTGTTTGTTTCCTAGAAAAAGGTTTTCTACCCTAAACCCATAGATTTTACACCAACATCTGTGTTCTTCTTCTTGGCTATCTAAACCCATGATTTTACACCAACATCAATCTATGACCATATAGGTTTTAATCCTCATTTTCAGTTTAGTAGATAAAATGTTCATATATTTAGAGTGATAGATGACTGCTATATTGGTTTTATCTTATAACTCTGAAGCTAATTACCAGTATGAATTATTGGTCAGTAAATGCACAAACAAGATTTTCCAGCCTCCATACACCATTAGCAATGGATACAAACTAGAATCACACATACCTCTCCGTCTCCATTAAGCCACCCTACCCTCAAAAAATGAGACCCTACCAAATCAATGCAATTGGGGTAAACTTTTTCCTTGATACGTTGTAATTATATATAATTGATGTTTATATAGTTTTATTATTTAATTCACCCTTATTTTTTTTTTCAATATTTGCAACAGACTGTAGCTACATTAACAAAAAGTTGAATAATTGGGAAGCACATCACTCCTTACTCTATCAATAACTGCCACACAGTTCAAAATTCAAGCTTGATCATAAGCTTCTACTACTAAATACAGTAAATTAAGTTCAGATCAAATATTAGCGTGCATATTCTATTAACAAGCTCTATTTATTACTGTAGAATAATCTGCCAAACCCATATCTATGTGATTTTTATGCAATAATGGGAAAGAATGTGTCAGTTCTTACACTAACTTTTATTAAAAGCTGTTGTTATGATTGATACTGTTACAGTTGTAGAACCTGTATGGTTTTAATGAAGGCTCCCCAGCATTTTATTAGAATCGCTTTTTTGTGAGTTGGAGATTTAAAGTGTTCTTTTTTCTCACTGTTTTGCATTTAATATTTGGGGTGCTTTTGCCTTTATCTTTTCTTGAATTTACAATATATGTATTGTCATCTTGAGAATATCATGGGAATTGAAGATGTTTTTTGTATGAATATTTTTATAGGTTGTGAAATGCAAGAGTACTTTTTTGGTAAAGCACAATGGGAATGGAAGATGGTATACATGTGGTTTTTGTTAGAATTTTTGAATGATTGAAAGTATTAACTGTTCATAGTTAATTTTTCAATCATCTAGGTATTAGATTTTATGAATGTAAAAGATGTTGGGTGCCTTTTGTTAGGCATGTATGCAACTGTTTGTATATGGAGGTTCACCATCAGAAATGTTCTTTGAAAAATTAGTGTATCATTGTTTATATTTAGATTATTAAAATAATAACTTGTAACAATTTTTATATATGCTATAACAGATACACTGATACCACTTTCAAATGTTATGGAAATAATGTTGTAACATTTCACAAATGCAGAATGATACTTGGATACACTTTTAACATGTTATTAAAAACCAATGTTTTAAAACCCGCTCACCCGGCTGTTTAACTGGTTCAGCTAGGGCCTAGAAGCTTCAATGGTCGGGTTTATAATTTTCCTACCACCAAAAACCCTAAGATTTGGGAGGATGTCGCAAACATTGATGGCTAGGATGATGGGGCTTTTGAGACAAAGTTCCAGTGAATGCAAGTGGTGACGAAGTTGATTTCCGTGAGTAAATCGATTGGAAATCGAACAAAACTGGTAGTGGCAACAATCGAATTTTGCTGGTGATTGACAGGCTAACGGGTGGGGGTGAGGTGGGTTTTGGTTGGAGAAGAGGAGTAATTTTGGTGATGGGAGGTTGTTGACGCCAGCGTCGATGAGATTTGGTAGAATCAACCTATTTCGGCCAAATCTTGGGTATATTTTAAGAGGAATGGCTTGAGGTATGATTGGTAGCATCTAGGTGTTGTCGCTACCAACCAGTCGCCGCCGATTTGTATTGGGGTGTTTTGCTAATTTTAAACCTATAGGGACTTAAAAATTTTATAGGGGTATATTTGCTAATTTTAGAAGTTTTTGTCAACCGGTTTGACCGCTATCAACCCGAGACCTGACAACTTTGCCGGGTTTCACCCCGGGTTGGGTTTTAAAACTTGTTAAACTCTTCTGTAGCATTTGAACATGTTAAGAAAAACCAATCTACAACATTGTAAAAATGTTATAAATTTGTTATCTATAAAATTTTGAGAATGTTGCAAAAAAAAAAACTAAACTTAACGGTTAAAATATTACAGAAAACTTATTTATAGCATTTTAAGAATGTTACAAGAAACTTATTGTAGCATTTATGCAGTGTTACTAAAAATCATTCGTACTACTGCCCTCAATTGAAAATGCTAATAATTTTGAAAATTCGTTGGGCACTTGAGATTTAGTAAGCAATGAAAAGATTAAGCTATCTGAAACTAAGAAAGTGCTAATGGAATTTGTGCCGAATGAATTCAATGAACTACTATTCATATTATGTATATTAGTGCGTTATAAATTCTTGATTATTCACCTTACACATGTAGGTTACATTATATATATATATATATATATATTTTTTATGACAGAGGGTGTCCGGGCCAGCATACGTCCACTTCAACTAATTGTCCGAGACCCTAGAACTACCGACCACATAAGAGTTCTAGTGACCACCCCTACTGGCAACCATTAGGACTCGAATTCAGGAGACTATATTAGATCATTCTCTTGTTCTTTTATCCTCAAGAGGAATCGAACTTGGGAGGCCATGTTAAATCATCCTCCTATTCTTTTACCATCAAATGAACTCAAACTTAAGAGATCATATTGGATCCTACTTTGCTTTTTTACTATCAGATCATCCATTAGTGATTTATTACATTATAATGTTAGGGTTGTGAGCGTGAGAAGATTTTTTCTTTTTTGCTCTTTTTAACAAGTATTGTCGTGTATGACATAAAATATCAATAGTGGTTGTAAAAGTTTATGAAACAAGAATAATGTGACTTTTTAACTGTTCTGAAAGGGAAAAGACATAATATAAATCGAATGTATCACGCTCTGATGTATAAATCAAAATAAATGGGGATTCTCTCCTTAAAAGTGTCCAATTTTAAGCATATCACGAGCTGAATGTGTGCTGCAACAACCTCTGAGTGGGATGGCGGTGAAGAAACACATATATTCGGCAGGTAGTGCCGACGGGCCGACGAAGATATCTTTTCTGGAATAAATGAACGAACATAGAGTTGACTCTTGTCTTTATGTATCAATCAAGTAAAAATCATTGAATAATGAAACCCATGTAAACAACACAAGTATAATACTACTATGTATTCTTAATTTATACATCCAATTTTGCATCTGAAAGACCCCTTGAGATTAATGGAGGATTGTGAAGAATTTGTAAGGAAAGTAATATGATTTTATATTTCCTTGATTAGGGATTTTTGTAGATACAATAGTAACTAATAAAATTGAAAAAGACGGCCTCTTATTAATCATAAGTTTGAATTCAAATACTGATCTCTATTGGCTTCTTATTTTCTACTTTAGAATTTTTTAGCTGAAGTGATAATTAATTATTAGCTAGCTCAAGCTCCATTGATGAGTTTTCTCTTGTTCTTCTCTTTCATTGACAATGCAGCATTGAAAAATTCATCCATGGCTTTCACTGAAGATCCCTTGTACTCTTCATCTCTCATGGCATTCTTTATCATCTCCCTGACTTTACCAACATTTCTTCTAATTTCAATCCCCTTCTTACTTTTCACACTCATCACCATCTCAATCTTTGCCTCTATATCTTCATGTCTCAATTCACAAGTCTTCCCTCTCGCCACCTCCACACAAATCCCCATCTCCTCCTCTAAAAATTTCACATTAAAAAACTGCTCGGCCGCCATCGGCCACCCCAGAATCGGCACCCCGTGAATCAAAGCTTCAAGCACAGAGTTCCACCCACAATGGCTCAAAAATCCACCTATCGCTTTATGTGACAAAATCTCCACTTGGGGTGCCCATTTCTTCACCAAAAGACCTCTTTTTGAACCCAAAATCACCCTCTCTTCAAACCCTTCAGGCAGCCATTCTTGGCCTCTGAATTCTGAATTTATGTCAAAACCAATTGGTGGCCTAACAACCCAGATGAAATTTTTTTCACTTGCTTCCAAAGCCATGGCCAGTTCTTTCATATGTGACAAGCTGATTACGTTCATTGACCCAAATGAAATGTACAATACTGATTTTTCAGGCTTTGAATCTAACCATTCTTTGCAGAATTCTGAACTGATTCCGGATTCTTTGTCTTTTCCAGCTTGTGCTCTATTGTCTAGTGATAATAAAATTGGCCCAATTGCCCAAACTGGCCTGTTTAATTTTCTGTTAAAATACTTCAATCCGAGCTTGTCGAATTCTTCAACAGTGTTGAACAAAATCCCATTTGAATTCACATATTCTGGTAAATTTCCCCCCTGGAAAAGAGACCAAGGATCAGAGCCATCAGCTTGAAGCATACTTAAAGCCAATTGTGTCTTCTGAATTTTTCCGGCTTCTTCAAAATCCGGCAACAAAAAATCCTCCGATTCACCTTTTTTATGCGGAAGATTTCTCCACACAGAGTAATAACAAGCCAAGCCGAATCCTCCAGCGCCACTAAAAATGGCGTGAAACACATTGAATTCCTGAGCGACACCGGCTGTCCATCCGAAAAAGATATCTGCAATTATGCAAAGCGGGGCGTCGGCGCCATTGTTCCTGCAAATAAGATCGTTTATTAGCTCTCTGAAAGCAGGCTTTAAAGAAGCCGAAGCTCTCAGGAGTTGAATGATGAGAGAGTAAGGGAGAGCGTCGCAGTTCTCGGAGTCCGGCGGGAGGCCGTGAAGCGAACTGTTGAAAGGGATTTCAACAAAGTTAATGGGGGAGCTTTTAGGGAGAGATGAGCGGAGTTTCTTGATGTTTAAAGGGGTGTTGACGAAAGTTATGGTGCAGTTTTTTCTGGTTTTCTGAATGTGAAGAGCCAAGGCGAGGAAGGGAATTATGTGGCCTTGGGCCATAAATGGAAAGAGTATAACATTTTGTTTTGTTTCTGCCATAACTTTTTTTTTTTTTGGTTGTCGCAGAGAAGGTTGGAGGAGTAGGTGGAGGACAGAGTTAGAACAGTTTCTATGTATTTTATGCTGCATCTTTTGTGGTAGATTTTATTTTATTTATATAAATCAATAACGACCGTAAAACACCGGGGTAAAAACCGTAAATTTACTTATTTATTTAAGTCGGTCAGTTGCAACAATAATTGACACCAAAAATACTTTGAATAGTTGACCAATAAAGTCTTGCTTGACCACAAATTTAGCATTTAAATATATATTTTTATGTGATTTCCAAGTGTATAATATTTGTAGTTTTAATTTGTTAACAACAATAATCCCAATTTTGAGTATAATAAATAACAAAAATCGTGTTATAATTATAAATAAAATAGAAATATTGCTACCATTAATTTTTTAGTATTAAAATAAATGGAAGAGAAGTAATTAAGTAAATACTTATCATATTATAAATTCTAATGGTACAAATTTGTATGGTGAGTCGGAACATACCATAATAAATATAAAAAATTAAAAACTTTAATAAAAAGAAAAGGCAACAAAATAATTTTGTCAAACATGAGTTATGACCGATACCTTAATTTATGTGGACATTTTACATTATCACCTTCGAGATGTCTTGTATATATTCAACTTGGCTTTTTTGTCTAAATCCATCCATAATATTCCCAAATTAATTTTGTAATAATCCTAAATTTTTATGTCCTGAAATTTTGGTTCAAAAAACAGAAGAAGAAAGAAAATCACAAATGAGAAAAATTAAGAGTTCATGATTTCCCCCGAGGTATCAGTAATATTTTCCCATCTTAGGTATCATAAATAACAACTTACTATTATTAGTATTTTGTTATGGTTTCACGGTTTAATTTAACAGATTAAGTGTAAAATGAATGAATTAGATGATGAAAAATCTACAAAACAATGACAATAAAGGATAAATTGTTATTTCAAATATTTGAGAGAAATTTTTTTTATTTTATGATTCTTTAGAGAAAAAATTGTAATAAACTCAATAGTTACTTTTAATGGTAAGTTGTTGTGAATATGTTATTGATTTGTTGAATGACAAAATCTACTTGAAATTAGCATAAAATTATAATTATAATATTGGAGGGAGTGTCAAGACTTTTCGATTCTTGAACTTGGTTGGTGTATTTTTTATTTTTTTAATAAAAATCTTGAAAAGGGAGAACGACTTACACGTACCCAAGGTTTATCGTAACGATAAGTTGGTACCTAAAAGGTTTTGAAATGACAAATAGGTACTTTCCGTCATGTTCTGTTAGTGATTTCTGTTTATTACTGTTTATTAATAGTGAAAAGACTAAAATGCCCTTAAAAGTTTGAATTTTAGTTTTTTATAAATTTAAAANAATTTTTTTTTTTTTTGTGACAATATTGATTGGAAAAATAGAATACGAATATTATATACAATTGATTTTTATTTGGCCCACCCTAGAAGAAATTTCTGGATCCGCCCCTGTCTATGGTAACACTTGATATTAAAATATCATGATAATAATTTTTATATATAACAATTTAACTTTTTGTAATACATTTTATATTAATGATAACTCTTTTTTGTAAAATGTTACTAATATAAGAATTATAGTAATATTTTCAAAGTGTTACAATAAACCTAATAATATAGTAACTTTTTTATAATGTTACCATATAATAAAAATACAGTAACATTTTATAAGTGTTACCATAAACCCAATTATTTACCGAGAAACAAAATATCATTCCCGTCAACATAAAATGGGGTTGATTTTGTCTCATTTTTATTGTTTAGGTGTCAAAATTATTTTGTCACTTTTCATTCATGTAGGGACCAAACAAATGTTTTACATATACCCAGATATTTACCGGGAAAATAACATTTAATACCACCAACCCAAATTTTCCTCAAATTTCTTAGCTAATTCCCTTGTAACTCATTCACATCGAAGGCAATTCTTTAGTTTGAGTTCAAAGTTTGCCTTCTCTTTTCTTTAACTGTTGTTTGTTTCCCTAGGAAAAGGTTTTCTTAACCCTAAACCCATAGATTTTACACAAACATCTGTGTTCTTCTTCTTGGCTATCTAAACCCATAGATTTTACCCATAGATTTTACACCAACATCATATCTATGACCATATAGGTTTTAATCCTTATTTTCAGTTTAGATAGATAAAATGTTCATATATTAAGAGTGATAGATGACTGCTATATTGGTTTTATCTTATAACTTTGAAGCTAATTACCAGTGATGAATTATCAGTCAGTAAATGCAGCAAACAAGATTTTCCAGCCTCCATACACCATCAGCAATGGGTACGAATCACACCTACCTCTCCATCTCCAATTAAGCCAACCCCAACCTCAAAAAAATGAGACACTACCACAATCAATGCAATTGGGGTAAACATTTTTCCTTGATATAGTTGTAAGCTATATATAATTGATGTTATATAAGTTTTATTAATTTAATTCAACCCTATATATTTTTTTTTCAATATTTGCAATAGACTGTAGCTACATTAACAAAAAGTTGACAACTGGGGAAGCACATCACTCCTTACTCTATCAATAACTTGCCCCACAGTTCAAAATTCAAGCTTGATTAGTAAGCTTCTGCTATTAAATACAAGTAAAATTAAGTTGCAGGATCAATAGATTTAGCGTGCAATATTCTATTAAACAAGCTCTATTTATTACTGTAGAGCAATCTGCCAAACCCAATATCTATGTGAATTTTATGCAATAATGGGAAAGAATGTGTCAGGTCTTACACTAACTTTTATTAAAAACTATTGTTATGATTGATACTGCTACAGTTGTAGAACCTATATGGTTTAATGAAGGCTCACCAGCATTTTTTTAGAATCACATTTTTGTGAAGTTGGAGATTTAAACATGTTCTTTGTCTCACTGTTTTGCATTTAATATTTGGGATGCTTTTGCCTTTATCTTTTCTTGAATTTACAATATATGTATTGTCATCTTTGAGAATATACATGAGAATTGAAGATGTTTTTTATGAATAGTTTTATAGGTTGTGAAAATGCAAGAGTACTTTTTTGGTAAAGCACAATTGGGAATGGAAGATGGTATGCATGGTGGTTTTTGTTAGAATTTTTTGAATGATTGAAAAGTATTAACTGTTGTTCATAGTTAATTTTTCAATCATCTAGGTATTAGATTTTATGAATGTAAAATATGTTGGGTGCCTATTTGTTAGGCATGTATGCAAACTATTTGTTTATGGAGGTTCACCATCAAGAAATGTTCTTTGAAAAATTAGTGTATCATTGTTTATAATTTGTATTATTAAAATAATAACTGTAACAATTTTTATATATGCTATAACAGATACACTGATAACACTTTCAAAATGTTATGGAAAATAATGTTGTAACATTTACAAAATGCAATGAATGATACTTGGATAGCACTTTTAACATGTTATTAAAAACCAATGTTTTAAAACCCGGCTCAGCCCGGCTGGTTTAACTGGTTCAGCTAGGGCCTAGAAGCTTCAATGGGTCGGGTTTATAATTTTCCTACTCACCAAAAACCCTAAGATTTGGGAGGATGATCGGCAAACAATTGATGGCTAGGATGATGGGGCTTTTGAAGACAAAGTTCCAGTGAATGCAATGGTGGTGACGAAGTTGATTTCCGATGAGTAAATCGATTGGAAATCGAACAAAACTGGTAGTGGCAACAATCGAATTTTGCTGGTGATTGACGAGGCTAACGGGGGTGGGGTGAGGTGGGTTTTGGTTGGGAGGAAGAGAGGAGTAATTTTTGGTGATGGGGAGGGTTGTTGACGCCAGCGTCGATGAGATTTGGTAGAAGTCAAACCTATTTCGGCCAAATCTTGGGTATATTTTAAGAGGAATGGGCTTGAGGTATGATTGGGGTAGCATCTAGGGTGTTGTCGCTACCAACCAGTCGCCGGCCGATTTGTATTTGGGGTGTTTTTGCTAAATTTTAAACCTATAGGGACTTAAAAATTTTTAGGGGTATATTTGCTAAATTTTAGAAGTTTTTGTCAACCGGTTTGACCGCTAGTCAACCCGAGACCTGACAACTTTGCCGGGTTTCACCCCGGGTTGGGTTTTAAAACATTGTTAAAAACTCTTCTGTAGCATTTGAACAATGTTAAGAAAAACCAATCTACAACATTGTAAAAATGTTATAAATTTGTTATCTATAAAATTTTGAGAATGTTGCAAAAAAAAAAAACTAAACTGTAACAGGTTAAAAATATTACAGAAAACTTATTTATAGCATTTTAAGAATGTTACAAGAAACTTATTTGTAGCATTTATGCAGTGTTACTAAAAATCATTCGTAACTACGAATAAATGCTACAATATACTTAACAACAACATTTTATTGCAGTTACTGAAATGATTAATAACATGCAAAAAATGTTACCAATGTCTACTTTTTAGTAACATGAATTGTCATAGCATCCTTATAAATGCTACCAATTACCTACTGTAACACTTTTTATATGTTATGGTAGACCATTTTTCTTGTTGTGACATAAATACTTATATTAGTCATACCATAAGTTAATATATTTATGTGTGGTTATTATGTCGTCAAATACATTTTATGAGTTTTATGTTTTTAGTTTGTAAGTTTTATATTATAATTTTATAAAGTTTTAAGTTTGATGTATTGATACAGTGTAGCAGGACCCATTTTTATGCAAGATTTGAAATTTTCCAATAATTGTTATAATTCATGTAATTGATACTTGCTATATATCCTTGCCTAATATACATGTATTTGCTCTTGATAGATCATAATACCATATAATTTCTTAAGTAGAAGTAGCTCATACAATATATTATATAGCCCCATCATATATTCATGAAAATGAATCTCAACCTTATAGTTGAATCTCAAACAACATACGACATTTTACTAGGATTGGAGGAAGATTCATTGTTGAATTACGAGGGTATGTTTGTTTTATTATTTTGAGTAGTATTTTTGAAATATTATTGTTAAGTTGAGTTGGATTGGGTTATTATTACAAGGT